GGGGTGGGGGGGGGGGGGGGGGGGGGGGGCACATTTTCCTTACCCAGCCATCTGTCAATGGACATTTAGGTTAGTTCCATATCTTGGCTATTGTAAATAGAGCTGCGATGAACATGGGAGTGCAGGTGTCCCTTCTACAGATGATTTCCATTCATTTGGATATACACCCAGCAGTGGGATTTGAGGAACCTCCGTACTGTTCTCCATAATAGCTGCACTAATTTACAGTCCTACCGAAAGTGTAGGAGGGTTGCCTTTCTCCCCATCTTTGCCAGTATTTGTTATCCTGTCTTTTTGATAATAGCCAGTCTAGCCGGGGTGAATTGGTGTCTCAATGTGGTTTTGATTTGCATTCTTCAGACACTTAGTCCCTTTCTCCACATCTTTGCCAGTATTTGTTATCCTGTCTTTTTGATAATAGCCCGTCTAGCCGGGGTGAATTGGTGTCTCAATGTGGTTTTGATTTGCATTCTTCAGACACTTAGTGATGTTGAGCATTTTTTCATATACTTATTGGCCATTTATATGTTTTGTTTTGAGAAATGTCTATTTAGCTCATTTGCCCACTTTTTAATTGGATTATTTGGTTTTTTACTGTTAAGTTGTTTGATTTCCTTGTGTATTCTGGATATCAATCCCTTATCAGATGTATAGTTTGCAAATGTTTTCTCCTGTTCTGTAGGTTGCCTTTTTACTCTGTTAGCAATCTCTTTCAAGAAGTCAGCATCTACATGTTTGCCCAGTCATGGAAGAGGCACCTGTGCATGTACACAAGGCCCCACGTGTGTACACAGGGCACAGTCTCTCCTCACTAGAGCTGGTTTCTTCTCCCCGAATTTCTCGTGCGGGTGCCCTTTTCTCTTTTCATTTCTCCTAACACGCCTGCCTATCACTTGATATTCAGCAGCTGTGTGAGATGGAGAGGGGAAAGTGTGCTAATGCATGGCAGATGTAATTGCTGCAGCTCCCCAAAAGTACTGTCATCAGCATTTCATTTTAAGGTTTTACCCAGAATTGTGTCAGTATTTTAAGTGGGCTATTTTCTACAATAACCCATATCACCATGAACATAAGACATTAAAATACTAATTGCAGCTTGAGAATTTAATTTCAGAAATGACTATACCACATTTCTAAAATTTGCATTCTTTAGAGCAGGTTTCCGCCAAATACCACCTTGGCCAAGACATCACCACACAGAATGTAGTTTCTTAGAGTAAATTGTACAGTATTTTAATACTTGATTTTAGTATGAGACCAGTTCAATCAATTTTACAGATTAACGTAACAAATTCAAATGCACTAAAGTGATAGCTATACTATTGTAAGGAAAATGAAGTAAATGGTCAGGTTCCCTCAGCTGTTCAGAATCTGGCAGAGCATGTCCTAGCCTGTTAGATGTAAATATGTTAACTGCGCACGTGCGTGCAGGTGTTCCTTGGCTATCGTCTGATGTAATTGTGCATGTGTGCCTGGGTGTTTCTTGGTTATCTGATCACACCCAGGTGTCCTGGATTATCTGACTTAAATACAAAGGATGAACAGTTCTAATCCATAGAGCCCTCATGATGCTCTGGGAGGCTACCAGGGCAGCTGCGGCAGGGCTGCTGCTAGTTAACTGAGCTCGCATCAGAATAAAGCCTATCAACTTTACCTATGGCTCCCAGGATCTTTTTCCAACTACCTAGCTCATGACCTGCATATGAGGGGTCTGTGAACCAGTCTGCACAATAGCTTTGAAGGGTCTGTGACCCAGCCCAACAACTATCATTCATTAGATGTTCTTAGGAAATATGGGATCTTATTCCAGATAAGCATTTACGGAACTTGCTGGCAAAGCTTTGACATCAGTTCACCCCATTTTTGAAAACCATATTGTTGGCTCAGGCTTTAATGAAACATGGCTTTAAAGTAGTCTCTAATAACCATGTACATTTTTTCTAAAAACCTCACTATGCTTCTACGGAGTCCCTGACTAGAAATGCAAACCTCCACATGAATATAAAAAACCACATAACATAGTCTACTTTTCAGGGAGAAATTGAGACTAATACAAGATATTTGACTTGTTTTTATATGAAACATAAATGTTTATTCATTGGCAGAGCTTTAATTTTTCTAAGCCTCAGTTTCTTCACCTGGGAAGTGGGGGTAATCCTATCCAGCTTGGCAGGTTGTTAGGAGACTTAATGAGACACAGCACAAAAAGTACTAGGCACAGTGCCTCCCACATGTGCTGACCTTGGTTTCTAGTAGATGCTCTGACGTCATTATCACCACGTGGCTCTGAGCTGGTTTCTAGTGATGCTCTAAAGTTATCATTATCACATGGTCCTGACTTGAAACCACTGGGGCCTAAAGAATCAAGAGTAGCTATTGCAGTCTTGTTCCCCCAGGGCAATTGGTCGCAGCCAAGAGTCTTTAGGAAGAGTTACATCAGCTAGCAGTGCTCTCCAGACTTGGAAACACTGGTTCAGCTCTCTCGGGCATCAGAATCCTTATTTTTGTGACCCAGTCACCTTTCAGGAAAGAAACAACACTTGAAAAACTGAGGGTTTCACCAATGGGAGAAAACACAGAAAGGAAAAAAGCTAAAGAGAGCAAGTGGGGGAAAGGACCCCTCGGGGAACAGCAAAGTGTGAGCAGCTCATCCTCACAGGGCTCATTCCTGCCACAAGCCCCAAGCCTCTGCCACTTCGCAGACATTTCTGCCAGTGCTCACAGCCCCCCTGGCCTGGGCCCAAGGCCCCTGCTGCCGCCCACCGTTCCTCTGCTCCCTGCTCCACTACCAGAACCCCATTTCTGGAGCACCTCTCTGGCCATCTTGTCTGTTACCTCTCCCTGGGGACCCTCTCAGAGAGACACTAAGTAACGGAAGGACACCTCTCGGAAGTGGGGACCCCACGTTAAGTTGAGAACCCTTAGATACAGCTTTGAAATTGTTTATTTTCTGTGGTGTGATAGGGAAACCTGCCCTCCTTAAAGTCTCTGTGTCAGGGACCATATGAAATGGAGTCGGGGTCAGAAGTTCCCTACTCAAATCTCTAGCAGAGGAAGCAAAACTGAACTGACTCACTATAGATATGGGGGTAGCAAGAGCTCCCACAGAGGGCGATTGAAGGCAAGAGGACAAGGCCCTTTATCCAGGTCCCCAGCATGACCCTGCCTCAGCCCTGCAGCAAAAAGAATTCTTGTGTTAGCCCCGGGAATTTGCAGGAGCCTCCAGGGCTAATGCGAGCACTTGCTCAGAGCTACCAGAACTATCTTTCTAATACATTCCTCTGCAGCTTCAACGCCCTTGAGTTTCCTACTGAAATACAAATATCTTCACATGGCATTCAAGGCCCTGCCCAGCCTGGCCCTGAGCTTGGCCCCATCAAACTCCCACGTAAACATAAACTCAGCCTGGATTTCTCTTTCCTTTCATCCTCTAAAGCTAGTTCCAGTGCAGCCTGTCCTGGAGCACATTCCAGAACCCTATGCAGACTTGCCTCCCTGGTTTATCACAGACTTTGATCATTTTACTGGGTACATGGTTTCCTTCTCAGCTCAGAAAATTGTTGTGGTTAAAAGGCTCTAGGGTCAACGTGCCTGCTCACTGACCAAGGGATCTTAAGTATTTAAGGACTCCTTCCATGTTAGTTTCTGTCAGATAGGTTCTAAAACTTGTGGCAGGGCTGAAACGACACTGCCTGATTTCGCTGGTACAACAGGGGGTGGTGGGACTGCACACTGCTGCACTGGGATCCTCTACTCAGACTCCTGAACTGAGTGTCAGTTTGGAAAGATGTTGAGCTTATAGACTGGGGGTAGTTGGTGATTTGTAAAGGCACATTTGTAATTGAGTTGGGAAAATTTGACTTCCAAACCTTTGTCAGATACTAGCAGGGATTCTACTAATCTCAGAATTCCAAGAGGATGGGATTGTGGAAAAGAAGATGCCGAATTATAGGCTCTAGGAATTCTTTTTCCTTCTTCCTTTCTTTTTAAATAAAGAATTCTGAAGAAGAAAAGGAGAGGTACAAAATGGAGCTGTAATTTACCAGGAGGGCTGAGCAGGGGGCCTTGGTCAATATGTCTAAGAGGCTCAGGGAAGCATCGGAAAAAAGGAGAAAAATCAATCAGAACCAGTGAGTGGTGTAAGTTTCAGCAATATCTCAAGTAGCTGTAAGGTAATTGAGTGTATTTGGTTTTACCAAATATAGTCTTATTCTCAACTTACCACATTCTCTAGTAACACCAGGTTCTTTTAAAGTGAAGTCTGAAGCCCTAAGTCTTATCAAGTCATTAATGTTTCATCAAAAACAGCATAACGCCTTAAACTGAAACCCAAGGGTGGGATTTGGACACAAGCATTCAAAGATAGTACGTTCTACAGCTGGAATACAGTGAGTGGGATAAGATTTCTATTTTCTCTGTCTTTTTTTTTTAGAAACAGGGAAGATTGACCAAGAGATCCACAAATACAACACCCCAGGATTCACTGGTTGCCTCTCCAGAGTCCAGTTCAACCAGATCGCCCCTCTCAAGGCTGCCTTGAGGCAGACCAACGCCTCGGCCCACGTCCACATCCAGGGCGAGCTGGTGGAGTCCAACTGCGGGGCCTCCCCACTGACCCTGTCACCCATGTCGTCTGCCACCGACCCCTGGCACTTAGACCACTTGGATTCAGGTAGAGTCTAGAGCAGTCCTGGGCAGATTGCTTGCTTTCTTTACACCTCTCTTTCCTCCACTGTAAAATGGGTGAATAACAGAAACTCGCTGATGATATCGCCAGAGGATGAAAAAGAGCTTAGGAAAGTGTGAGCCCACGAGCTCCCCGGGCAGCACGTGGCACCTGTGAAGCACTCAGAGTTACAACGATTGTTCTTGCTCAGGGCCAGAAGTACGTCCGAGGTAAAGAATGTAGGAAGTATTGACTCCTCATTTAAGTTAAATTAGGAGACGCCTCAACTGATGTCTGCAACGTGATGGTGGGACAATCCGATCACATCACTTCCTCACTGTTGCCTCTTACAACTCTCGATGGCTTGCAGCCACGGAGTCCATGTGCTCATATCAGAAGAAGAGATTCACCTGGAACAATAGCAGAGATTCAGCTCCCCACCCTGTGTTTATATGAGGAACACTGTAGGCTAGAGATCCTTATAAGGTACATTTAAGCTCACAAAACTCAGTGGATTTAGTCCCATTTCTGCAAGAGGTAAGACATGTAGTTTGAAAGCACAGTGCACAAATTAAAGAATGTAGCTGTTGGTTGGCTGCAAAACCATTTGGATGAGAATTCAATGTCCCCAGAACCCTGAGTGGTGGAAAGCCCATTAAACTGCATTTCAGGAGACTTAGTCCCATGCCTAGCTCTACCTAAATTGACCTTGAGCAACTCAGGTAACCAACTGTTCTCAGCCTCTGCTTTTTTATCCATAAGGTGCAGAAGTGAGTGAAATCCCTAAGTGACCTCCACATCTAACAGTCACTGGGTCTCCGTCTGTTGCTGATGCTAAAGACAGGAAGAGGATGAGGTGAAGGTGACTTGCCCGTGGGGCCAGGGTCCCAACACCATCACTGCCACTCACTAGCAGATTCAACTCAGGCAGGCTTTATAACCTCATTCCTCAGTTTCCCCATTTCTAAAATAAAGATCAGCCCTAGCCCAATAGAATTCTGTATGAGATGACTGTTTAAAGCACATAGCACAATCATAGATGTGTATGATTTAAAAATAGTTTTAAGGGGCCGGCCCGGTGGCGCACTGCTACAGTGCGCCGCTTGGGAGCACGGTGGCGCTCCCGCCGAGGGTTCGG